GCACCGGCGAGGACCATGCCCCATTTCATTACTGGGGCCCTGTTGGGGTGTTAGCATTTGTGCGATGGCTTGGGCGGGGTGTGGTGGGTTTTGGAGGTGGGTGTTTGCTGCTGCGGATGCGGATGCGCTTCGGAGAGTGCGGGGAGCTGGCAGCGCATTGCGGGTGGGCATAGAGGTGGTATCGAGGCGGCGTACCAGAAGTGGACTGTCTTGGGACCAATGGGGCTGTTCCAGAACTTCTGGAAGCCAGCGGGCTCAGCGCCCGCCGTGGACGCATGGCGGCGGGCATTTGCGCGTTGGAAGAAGGGTCGGAAGGAGCTGAAGATGCGGGAGCCGGGGCGGAACGACATGATCGCGAGTTGTGTCCTGGACTCTCGAGGTCGGCGATTCGAGCGGGAGAAGCAATTGGGGCGTCGAGAGCGAGGTCGAGGCCTTGGCGAGTGTCGTGTGCGAGAGCCGTCGCGATGTCGGGCTCAAGCACTGAGATGATAAATCCGGGACTATCGATGGGGGTGCTCCGACTGCTTTAGGCCCAAAAGGGTAAGGCGTGCGTCTGGCAGCTTGACGAACATTGAATGTCGCTGCCGGCCCAGTGACGACAGACACCGATTGATACCCCCGCACACCAGTACCGGTCCCTACCATGGCGTCAAAAGCATTCGCAAACGGCCTCAAGGAGCTGAGGTTCCTGTTCTGCCAGACCAGCGAGCACAGCGCCGCGACAAGGTATGCGACAACCGAGTGAAGGAGCGCAACCCAACGCGCAGACCATTGCACAAGAGCGGGATAGACAGGAGAGGCAGGATAGAGCGAACCGCGCTGACCGACTGGACAGGAATTTCCTTATGCGAAGCTACCCCGCCATGAAGAAGGCCAACCCATCCATCCCCATCATGATCCGCGAAGCCAGCAACACCCAGCCTACCGTATATGCGCGATTCGGTGCGTCACTCCCAAGAAGGACATACGAGAGCGATGCTAATAATCTGGGGTAGACTTCGGAAAGGAACGGAAGCTGTCACTGAAGGGTCTGGACGACAAGGCCATTGAACAACAAGTCACAGAGCTGGTACAGAAGGGCGCATGAATACATACTGGGAAGGAAGACGAATGAAGCAGACAAGAGTCGTAGGCGAAGGACGAACAGGCATACAAATAGCTCAAGAGAGCACAGCATAATAGCTCTGTATAGCCCGAATTGACCGTCTTCAAGAGTCCACTTCTCATTCACCTCGACTTCCAAATCCCCATTCACCCTCACCATCCCATCTTCTGCGTAGCATATAAACTGCTCATCCGCCTCCCATCTTCCTATTTCCTCAGCCGCCAGAACCTCTTTTGCCGACTACAGCCTCAAAATCCCTCTCACAAACTTCACCACACACAAGCCCGACATCTACATACACTAACGATGTCTCACCAGACCAACCTCCCAGGCCACCACGATGCCGACATCGTCGCCACCGAGCTCGACATATTCACGGCCAGCGACGTGAGTACCTCCCGGCTCCTCTATGATAATCAGATCAGTACTGACAAAGTTACTTGTATAGCACCCCGCTCTTGCCGCCGGCCCCGCCGCTGATGCGCTCAGGCGTATCGAGCAGCAGTACCAGCACCTCGTCGAGCTGCTGATGAAAGAGAAGTCGGCTGCGGCCGCCAAGATCGCAGATCTTGAAGACACCCAGCGCGCCTTGTTTGAGACTCTCGGCAAGAAGATGATGGACGAGGTGAAGGGGGTTTTCGTCCAAACCCACATTGTGCCCGACAAGAAGGTGGTTCTGCGGGTCGGAGAGGAACTCTGGTCTGGCATCTTCAAAGATGTTTGAAGATGGGTTAGGTGGTTCGGTACTATTCTGATTCCCCGTCTTGTTTCCTCTTTCCCCTCCGAGTTTTTTGATTTTTGTGATTTTTCTTAGATAGACTGGCATCAAATTCCATCGCGTGGTGTGCCGCATATCATGTGTTCTTGGTGTGTGTACAGTGGTGTCTTCGCGATTTTGTGATTTTGACATTGTGAATGCAATATGTTCTACATGCTTATATATAAGTCAAGACTTCCAGGTACCGCATACATCTTCCAGAGTAGCAGCAACAGGCTCAATCCCAGAGTCGTTGTAGTCATCTCGGTAACACTTGTTCGGTGTCTTACGTCGCGGAAATCCATCGACTCACATCACGCCCACCTAAGAACTTAGCATCATGTCCGCCTCAGTGGCGTGTAAGCCTCAACAAGGCGGCTTCTTCAGCCGGTTTCGTCGCAATGACTCCGCAATGGGCTCACCCACAGGCTCTGCTACGCCTTCCCTGGCGCCCTCTCTCGCATCTTTAAGTCAGGACAACGATAATCTGGCTGCGATCAACACTCGTCTACAAAAGCGTAATCAAGAGTTGATGCAGCAGTCTGAACTTAACCAACTACTCTTCCAACAAACCTCCGAAGAGCTCACAGCGAAAATAAGCGAATTTGTGGAGCTGAAAGAGAGGTTTCACTCCAATGCTGAAGCTACCAACGAGACTATTCAGGTCCTGGGACAGCAGCTCCAGACTCTGGAAGAGCAATTGGCGGAGTCACCTGGGCGTCGCAGCTGAGCGTGAAGCCCAGCTAGCTGTGCAATTCGCACAAGCCCAAGACACCAATACTTCGCACGATGTTCAACTAGCTGATTCCGAAGAGCAGCAACACCACCTCTCCTTGGAAGCTGCCCATGTGCAGTCCCCCACCCAAGAAGATGTCAACGACTTGATCTGGGCCAAGCTCCAAGACAAGAATAAGACGATTCATTTCCTGCGTTGTCGGCAGGCGAAATCTGATAAGCGCATCCAGAAGCTGAAGGAGCGTTTGGAGGTTGAGCAGAGTTTGGGCAGGGATTGGGTTGAGACTATCATGATGGTTAATATGAAGGTTAGGGCTAGGGCGAAGACGGTGGATGATGCTGGTGCTGAGGTGTAGATGTAGGTGATACGGCTTGATAATATGGCGTAGTGATTGGTAAATAGTAGTCGGACTAGGCGATATTTACATAATGCACTCTACATCTTTCCCAACGTTTCGGATCTATTCTTCGTCCATTTCTTCAACTATCAGCTCTTCATCATTCATGATTTTCTTCTCCACTGCCCCTTAATGCTAGCAGCTTCCGTCAAAGTCCCGCTCATCCATGCTGCAATAACCGTAGCACACTTCACAGTAACACCCTCGACGTCAATCCGCTGCGCCTCCAGTTCACTTCCCAACAAGAGAATCTCCGAGGTGTCACGTAAGGCGAAAGACGCCACCAATGTATCGCGTAATCACATGATCCGTCATGTACTGCTGTTGGGTCAATCCTTGTTCCGTGCTGGACGCCACCAATAATGCCCCTCAGGCACATCACATAAAAACGCCTGTGTCGCTGTTGAGTCGCTCAAAGACTACGATAGCGTGGTCGACTAGGTTGATGCCTGTCGGTGTTGGTGTTCCGTGGGACACGTAGTGGGCTGTCAGGCGCCTGTCTTTGCTGTGTCATCGTCCGTCTTTGGTCTCCGAGACTCCGAAACAGAATGTACCTGCATATATGTCGCATGCCAAGATACATGTTCCCATCGTCTTTGTGGTCATTCGGCTCTTTTGCCGAGTAGGTGCGCTGATGATCTGCATGCTGCAGGGTATTCCAAACGGAGTAAGAATTGACGACGGGTACTGTACCCATAGAATATTCTTTGCCTCGTTCGCCTTATTTGAATGGTATCAATAACCTGGCCATGACGCGTCTACCTTAGGTGGCAGTGTAACTGGATCGGTTGAGTCGGCTTGCTTGGTTGAAAGGCTAAGACCCTTGTTTGATGTGGGATTGCTTTGTGACGAGACACAATCGTAGACCACTGATCTGTGTGTTCCGGGAACTGTCTCGAATTACGATAGCGTCATGCGGTATTTTCAGTCCGCTCTTCCGTCATACCTACTGTCTGGCGCTTGGTCCTCGCGGCAGTCAAGCGAGAATACCGAAAGCATCAAGCGTTACATCGGCCGAGCTGTACCTTGTTTGCGCAACGACCCAATACTCGACCCTAGCGGCGTATGCCCGGTCCATATAATCACGGGACCGTAGTAGGTCTGTTGCTCATGTAGACGCCCGTTGAGATCGGACGGCTGCAGCTTACTAGCTCCCTTGGGTGGAGAACTGGCATGGATGACGACGACTTGGAATGCAAGACACAGACGGGACCTTGCGGTAGGATGTGATAAGTCGCATGATCGGCGTACTGAGCCAACTCTAGTCGCATTAGATATGTCTCCAAATTTTATCATCGGTCTTCCAAGCATGGATCATGCGTTCTGTAGCACCTCTGCGCTGTAAGGCGGTTGGCTGCTCTGACAGCAGGCACTGCAGTCTGTGGCTGCTGTCTGACAGCCTGTGTATTCATGATGATACTGCTGTAGCCTATAACAACGTGTCTTCATTTCGAACAGTTTATCAACATGCAAGCCACCTCGAGGGGAATACGTAGTGCATGTCGTGCGCGCACGTTGATACTGGCCGCCCGAGTGACGCATGTGCGATCGTTTGAGCGCACAAGACCGGTGAGCTCGATTGGGTCGTTTGAAACGAAGTACAATCGTTGACATTTGAGAGTTGGTGGACAGACTTCTTACCGCCAGAAGGGCGGCCCAGTGTGATTCGAATGAAGGTCCATCGAAGTAAGATCGATGTGTATTACGGCAATATGCTGGAAGCGTTGAGTATCTCAGTTTTTTTTGCTGGAGCGTAAGATATGAGCCCTCAAGTTGTACCTCTTGTTCTGTCAGTGAACGAGGTTTGGGCCTAATCTGGACATTGTTGAGCGATATGGCTAGTTTCGCTCCTTGTACATCGCAACGCCAACTCCAAAAACAGGCATTACGAAGCAAAGCCGACCTTGAAATGCAAAAGTTAAGCCTCCGAAGAGAGAACGGCATGTGTAAGATCTGCTGGAAAGACTGGTGAATGCAGAAACGCAGTTGAAGGCTTGGTCAGGGTTCAACCGAGGAGGACCTCCCATTCCCATTCTTTCATGACACTCAACCAATGCAAGCGACTTTTGACTGTTACTCCCGAATCCTGGGTTTCTGTAGTACTGGATGGCATCGGCATCCCGTACGGTGTTTCTCGGGAACCGAAGTCGCGATCGACGTCGTAATCACCAGGATAGGTGTCGTTCTGGCAAATCATGGATGCGTCTGATGAGAAGCTGTCGCTTCGCAAGTTCTCCATATTCATGGTTGTACGCTCAAGCGCATGGTTGTCGCGCCGATTCCAAACTTCTTTTGTGACTTCCAGGCATCGTTCTATAATCCCCAATTTCATTCTGGTAGACATCAGGGACCAGCGATCTTTGACCCATTCCCTCTCATCTGACTTAGTCATCTCACAGCCGGCAGCCATTAGAGGATATATATGTACGATAATTGCACGTGAGCGCGGATGAACGGTAGCCAAGGCGCACAGCACTTTGTTTGCGAGCACGCTGGGTGGCTGGGATGGAACCTCCGGCACGGCTTGGTGAAGATAGAGCAGTGTTGCGTACTGATAAGCGATCGCAGTCTTGATAGCATCTTGCGGACTTGTTGTCTCGTCTTCTGGTTCTTCAATGTGAGAAGGCGGGGTCCATTCCTCGAGTTGAGATTTCAATTGTACTGCTTGCGAAATGATGGTGGGTCCGTTGCTATCGGACCTCCGCACTTTCCTCACCAGATTGGCCACTCGGCCAATGATGGGGAAGAGCGTGTGCGCGCAGCCCATCAACGGGTCAAGAGTAGAGTCGGTGTCTCCGGCAGCATATATGCTCTCTCTTACATTGTCGACATCGTATGCGTCGTCTTCTTCAGCAGAAGTAAGGCGAGCAAGAACGTCCATGTAAATCCAAGTGTTGCAAAGAAACTTCAGGCGAGCCCATTCTTCGCCTTGTTTTGGCATGAGACGATGGTTCACAAGTGCTTGATTAATCAAGATCTTAGCTCCTTTGATGTGGTTGATACCGGTACTGATATGCTGGTCCCATGATTCGGCAAAGGCGAGAACAAGTGTAGTCGAGATAGCTGCGTCGACACGCATGTTTTGGAGTCCAGCAGCCAATGCATGTACGGCGCTCCGCATATGATCTATACCCTGAATGCGCAAAGTAGGCATATCTCTTGCCTGATGGAAGGAGGTCATCGATGCGATGGCATGATAGAGTGCTGGACAATCTCTCGTGAGAGGCCAGATGAGGGTCCGCCATGGGTTCTCTGTAGGCCCGTCCTTCAGTGACAGTACGCCGCATGTGTCCCTATGATAACGCCGTGTGAGTGACTCCGCCGATGTCATAGGTACATGCAACTGGGCCGGGATCTTGAAGTCGGGAGAATTCGTGGAAGAGCCTGATGAGCTTGGTGTCGCGGGCGATGGTAGCCACATAACGCAAGCTGCAGACTCGTCAATCTTATCGCGTACAACTTCTTCATCGACATCGTCATCCAATGGCGCTGGCGGCGTCATACCAGAGGGCTGGTAGAAAGCTTCATGCTGAGACACAAAGGAAGAGTACTCCTCCGGTGGCACAGTTAGATCTGTCCCTGGGAGTAGGAGGTCTACGATTCGGGGAGACTGGCCTGACGAAAGGCTTGAGTCAGTATTCGTATTGGTCCGCGCAGTAGTCGTACTTTCGGCTCCAATGATGCTGAAAGGCTCGAAAGGACCTGGCGCGAACGACTCCACTGGTGATATCGACTGAGAGATGATGAATGGCGATGTCGTCGGGACGGTGAACAAGTGTTCCATAGGTGCTAAGGGGGTTTGTGAAAAGGGTATCTGTATAGGCGGACCATGCATGAAAGGGTATGAGTGTTGGCGCGGCGGATAGTATACCCCAGGGTGGGGCGGGTTACCGAAGGTGCATTGGTACTCCTGGAGACCGCACTGTCCCTGGAATTGCGAAGGCACAGCTGTTGGTATCTGGAGGGTCGGGTCTAAGTCTGTTAGTTGCGTATCAGTATGACTGTGCAGACACTGACCTTGACGTGGATTGATGGGCGCTTTGGTCGCAGTGTTCAGCTCGTCATAGTGCTTCCATTTGTAATCTTTGGCGTACCCGCCGCATGTTATTGCACGTCTCTCGCATTGCTTGCATGAAGGATGTCTTTCGTCACATTTCAAGCGCTTTGCTTTGCAGGAAACGCATCCTATATATAGGTCAGTATAGTCACAGGTGAGAACAAGTCCAGTTACGCTTATCATGTGAGCGATAAGAGTTGACAAGGGGAAGCATACCATTACGGCTCTTGGACTGCTTTCTCTTAGTGACGCCAGAAGTATCGGAGGCTTTGGTTGCCTTCTTCTTCGCGGAACATGATGCAGATGACACCTGCTTAGCGGGCTTGACGTCGATCGGAGCAGTCTCGGGTGATCTCAGCACGGATGAGGATGACGAAACAGTGATAGCCTCAGCCATCTGCCGCGGAAGGTGCGAGCGTTCGGTCGCTGGGCGAACTTGTCGGCGGCCCGAGATATCATATGCAAAACAACAATTGACTAGCTACGCAGAAGCGAGAAGAATCACCGGAGGTTTGGTAGATAAGCAGGAAGGCAGCGGTATCTAAAGTGGAGAAGAAGCTGGGGAGATGCACGGCTAGTCATTAGCGCCTTACCTATCGGGTTCGCGAATCACGCGTGGGGTCCGGTTTCAGCATTTTTCCTCACTCTGCGCAATCGCGAAATTTCTTCTTCAAGGTCTTGTGCTCAGTGATATGCGGCGGTAGCTACTCGAGTCCAGTATCTTGTGCGACGGCTGACAGTTGGTATTAGCCGTTGGCTGGGATCGTGGTGCAGGCCCCAGGTGCCCTTCATCGACGCTATCCGCATTCGGAACCCTTGCAGCCGGCCGTGAACCGCTCCACGAACGGCTCAGCCTTGTTTCGGGAGCGACGCAAAGCCGTGGGAGATCCCGTGGAGCATGTATCAGGAACGTTCTCGCTTTGGGAACTCTACGTCAGTGAGTCTAGACCAGGCTTACCTGGAGCCGGCCTCTTTTGGTTGCACTGCGCACAGAAGACACAAAACAGTAGGAGGCTAAGCTTTTTCGTATCTCTACGTCGTTCTTCACAAGACGGAAGCATGCGGTGTGAGTCTCAAGCGACATGTAGTGCCCAAGCATCTTCACACTCTTCCATCACCATCTGAGCCCGCCGCCACTCTACTGATCTGGTGGCGAGGACTCTACCTCTCCTTTGTCCTCGATCTCGTAAGTGATACCATCCACAGTGACTTCGTTCTTACCTTCCTGCATAGCTTTGATGAGTCCAGGAGCCGTAGCAGCGATAGCAACTGCGGTGACTGTGCCCGCGGCGACACCGTTGACGAGTATAGCACCACTACCGCCTGCTGCTGCGCTTTGGAGAACCGCAAAAGCGCTTCCAGCTGCAACCTTTCCGATGCCAGATTGAACTGCAGCAGCGGCAGATCCTATCATTCTATCAGTCGGGTGTGTAACAAAGTGGACAAGGAGATCGTGACGTACCAGTAGCAACTCCCTTAGCCGTGAAACCCACCATACGTAGGACGCCGTGCGCAGCACCGATACCGAGAGGAGCAGCAACGGCACAGGCGATTATCCCAGCGGTCTCTCCTGGATGCTCCTCAATCCATTGCTTGGTGTGCTCTGCCGCGATACCAACGTGCTTTCCAGCGTCTTGACCAAAAGCATCTGCATGTTTCCAGGCTTCCTCGAGAGCAGGGCCGACCTTTGGTCCTACATCTTGGCCGAAAGCGTCAAGATGTTTCCAGGTCTCTTGCGCGACGTGGCCGACGTGCTTTCCAGCGTCTTGACCGAAGGCATCCATGTGTTTCCAGGTTTCTCCGAGAGCAGGGCCGATCTTTGGTCCAACGTCTTGACCGAAAGCATCGAGGTGTTTCCAGGTCTCCTGCGCGACATGGCCCACGTGCTTTCCAGCTTCCTGTCCAAAACCGTCCAAGGCCTTCCAAGCGTTGTCGAAGAATCCCATGATGAGCTTGGGACTGTTTGTGGCGTGGCAAGTGATCAAAAAGGCATCTAGGTAGTATCCTCCAAAAAAAGAATTTTGAGCGTGTGGTGTCCCGGTGGGGAAACGAAGGTGTAAACGGTGGAGAAGTGAAGGTGAAGCGGAGCAGAGGGGCGCGGGGTAGGGTACGGTCGCACAAGGTCAGTTGAGCAGGATGCAGCTAAAATTACATTTACCAGATTGTACATGGACCGTCAATAAAGAGCCGCGCCATACACAAACGCCAGGATAGCCATGACGCCTAGAATGCAGGGCACGAACAGAAAGAAAAGAAAAGGGTATCTCCTCTCGTAGTCCTACAGTCAATAGTAGCTCAACCCCGAAGCCCTCACCTTCTTCTTCCCTTTCTTCTTCTTAGCCGGCGTAGGACTAACCACATTACTGCGCCCACCCAGCCTCTCCTTCCTCTTCTCATCACCACCATTCATTCCCGCCATTTTACTCGCGCCGCCCGTCATGAAGTCACCATAGGCGCTTTCGGCATACAGAACAGGCGTCGTGGCGCCGCTAGGGAACCACTCGCTCCCTTCCTCCCATGCGATACCAGCAGCTTGCGCAGCGCGTACGCCCTCGATGTAAGCTTCCATCCTGCTGCGCTCATCGTCGTTTTCGAGACCGCAGCCGCATCCGCAGCCGACTACGCATTCGCCGTCTTCCATACCGATCTCGTCGTCCATGCAGTCCATGTGTGCGACGTGTCCGCATGCGGCGCACAAATGGAAAAGACCTGAGACACGGATCCAGCAGATACTGCAACTGTACACGGGGTCTGTTTTGGTGGGCTTGGAGGATGTAGTGGTGATATTGGTGCGCGAGCGTCCGTCACGCCATGATGAACCGGCTGAGACAGTTGATGTGCCTCGTGAGAGGCTGGGTCGGCTCGCTCTGCTGGGCGGGGGTTGCAGTCGATTCTGTCCAGGCGACGTGTCTAGGCCGGCAACGCTCTCGTCTAACTCCTTCGTTGGGGTTGGGACGGGTATTGAAAGTTGGAGATACTGCTCTGTTGGGATGAGTGTGTTGAAAGACGGTAGACCTTCTTCTGATATACCGCCAGATATCGTTCCAGGTTGGAACTCCATTGCTTCGGGGTTGAAGGAGAAGTGACGAGGTGATGCGCCCGACGTGCGCTTCATTTGCGATGTGGTGGGTGTTGGCGGAACCAGTGTTGATGAAGCTCGAGATAGATGTCTTGATGTCTTTTCGTCGCCGCTTTCGTCGGCGGATGTCTTTAGTGCGAGCGATACTGAGCCATGTTTGAGGCCGGTACGAGGAGCTTCAGCTGGGAAGTAGGACACAAGGCCGTTGAACTTTAGTACTTCGGCCCGTATGCTGACCAGACCCCAGCGGCTTAGCATCTCAGCATACTGCTCGCGCCAAGCCCGATGTAACCAGTCTTTGCTTGTGTCTAGTAGTGGCCTACTGAAACATGCCTCATCATCGAATTGATCCTGGTTCTTGAGCGTGACCTTGATGCCTCCTCTGTTACTTACACCATCTTTAGGTTTGTCAGACGCGCCACTTTCTTTGGAGTTCGCTAGTCTGTCGCCACCGTCATCCTCGACTCTCTCGTAGTCAGAGTCCGAATCCTCTATGTAGTTGACATTGACTTGCTCTGACTGTCCGAAACTTGCTCGCTTGCCGTGCTTTGAGCGTGAGGTTGAGAGATTGTTCTGATCATGGGAGTCGCTTCCATAGAATGTGGTTGTGCCCCAGGTAACACCACTGGTGGGTGCTGAAGTTGAGAGATCGTCCATGCGTGACCTCACTGGAGGTGAAGAGGACATGGCATTCGCAAAAGGGCGCGACAGTGCGGCAACGGCACTTGCGAAATTTGCAGTGGAGCTTTTCTTGTGCGCCGTGTGACTTTGCTCTGGTGATGTTCCGTATGGCGTGTGATTAGCCGTCTGCGCACTTCTCATTGTAGACGCCCTGGACAGGGCGGGAGGCGTGTTACCGGTGGAGTATGGTGTAACAGGATCGGAGCTGATATGGTCGCTGCCCCACGGGCCATTGGAGCTTCCATGACTACCGTACGTATCGAAATTCTTGGCCAGTCTCTGCCAAGCAAACTCGTTGGCCGGCGTTGCAAAACGCGATTGCGATGGCGTAGATGGAACAGAAATTGTGGGCTGGAATAAGCTCCACGCAGCATCCACTGAAGGAAAGTAGTCCAATGAGAACGCTGGTGCTTCCATGGACATAGGCAGCTGGGATTGTCGCATCTTGGCCATAGCCGAAGTGACACCTTCGCGAGCAGCAGGTTCTGCAAAAATACATGACAGCATAGCAAGCATCTGCGTATCTGCTAGGCGTTCGAAGTGGTCGAAAAGTGACGGTATCAACCACGTGACGACAATGTGGTGTCCCCACTTCACGCGAGCTTTGAGCTTAGGATTGGCCACGGTATCTGCCTCGTCGAATTGTAGGTCTAGCCCACTATCCTTGCGTTTGATTCTCACAAGAGCTCTTCGGGCGAGCACAAGAACCTGGTCCCTCCGGTACTTTTGAGGTAATATCTCCAAGGGTACCTCATTACTCAAGATGAGTTTGCAAAGGATCCAAATGTCCGCGAGATCATCAAAGCCGTACTTCCGAGCTACTTCTGAGTTATGCTCGCAAATCCCCGGTCCAGGTCCAAAAATCCTGTATTCCTCCGCGAGTTCACGTTTACTGGGTACCAGATCATCTGTGGCAGAAAATAGTATTGACACCGTCGACTTAGGTTTGGCCGCCTGCTTCCCTCCGCCAGTCGAAGAGGGAATCGAGTTTCGCGACTGGAAGCGGGATGCCGATTTTTGCCAAGCAAGCGGTGGCTGGAAGTTGCCTATATGTGAATTTCCTGCATGATGGGAGTCGGACGATGAAGATAGGGTGGAGGATGTTTCCCATGATCCCACGGAGGAGGATGGCGACGATGCGCCATCGGAGGCTCCCGGATGATGATTCGTAAAGCGGCCGAACGAGTCGAAGATGTCATTCTTCGAAACACCCTGTCTAAGATTCCTGGTAATCTGAAATCTGAAGGTATCTGCGCCAGGCATAGATTTTGCTACGGGTATCCTTGCGACTACAAGGGATCCATCTACCGAGAACCGTGCAGTACACTGAACCGGCAGCGGTATGTTGGCATTAGTATGGGATGATTGCATGACGTCATCAGTGAACTCGCCCTCTTGGTCTTCATCCTCACTAGAGCTCTCGCCAGGCAGTGGTCCAAGGTCTGCGAGCGGGTCATCATCTTCGGCTAGATCCAGGCTGTCGTCCAGAGCTCGTTCACCCAACGCGTACGATAGGACTGCTTCTAGGCCTTCTCGCTGTTGGTCTGCGCAAGTTTCCGCAATGCGGTGCATGTTGTTTGTTAATTCCTCTTGGGTTTCTTTGCTAATCGCCGCTGTCGTTCTCTCAAACTCAATGTGCAAAGGAGTCGATATCCTGCTAAGAACGGAGCCCGATTCTTCCCTTTTGATTGCTCTCGGGTAGGAAACTGGGAAGTTGATTGTGAAGCGAAGAAACACTAATCTGGGTTCGTTTGTCACTGCATCCCAATCACCCCATGGACCGCTGAAGGAGACCTTGATGCGTCGCCCGGGAATATCGATTTCTTCAAAAGCAAGCTTCTTGTACTTGTGGCCTACCAAAGCAATCTCTGCACCAAGGTCGTTCTGCTCCTGAAATGGCTGCTTCTTATTGCGGTCGTGATGGCTGGGGGGAGCATGTAGGTCGTTGATATCGTTGTGACGGTCACTCCCGAATTTAATGCCATTAATCCACTTCATGTGATTGACTACACGTGGATCATGTCGCCGAATCGGGCGAGCCGTCATTGTTTCTCGCGGAATTGTCTCATGTTGAATCCGAGAATGCGTTCGGTCATGGTAGCGCGGAGCGTAAGCGTCTTCTTTCAGTGAGTAGTTCTGGAGGAGAGTGGAAAGATTGCCCTTGCGTTGTCTGCGAGGTGGGCCGAATTCGTCCTGAGTGGTTGTACTTGTGGTAGTAGGAATAGGCCCATCGCGATATGAAACATACATTGCACCTTTTCGCGTCCTGCTGGGCTGTTCGACAAGTGGCTCGCCTTTACGGTGGCCGACCCACTTCTCCAAATCTTCTGAAGAAAGACGATGAAGTATGAGTCGCCTGTCAGTGCCATAAGAAACCAATTGAAAGTCCCGATTGTCGAACCCGTCATCGGTAGAGCCTCGCGTGCGCCAGAGGAACTCGCGAACTTGGGCATCAGGGGCGTGCTTGGGAAAGTGTGTAGCAGATGTATTGGTAAAGGTTGAAGAATCGCTACCATCAACGTGCTTGTATAGCCAAAGAGAGGAGTTGCCACGCTGCGGCATGGCGAGGATACCATGTGGAAAGGGCGTGTGCCGCGCTCGCCACACAGGGTAATCAGTGCGAATGACGCGGCGAGGAACAGTAATGTTGCCTTTCAATCCTACGTTGTTCCAAAGTTTGATAGTCGCGTCGAGTGAGCAGGTCATGATCTTGTTCGCGTCGTTGCGATTCCAGTCGATGCCGTAAATCTTGGTCGTGTGCGCGGTAATGGTAGAAAGAGGATTGGCTCCATGACGAGTGTCCCAGATGTGGAGGTATTTGTCGTGAGCACTTGCAATGATCTTGTCGTTTTGGCGGTTCCACTTGACTTGAGTGGCTCCTGCGGTGTAGTCGGCAAGCTTCAGCGGCGCCTTTTGGCTGCGAAGATCATGGACGAAGACGAAGCTGTCAACACCACACGTTGCCAAGAGGTCTGGATGGTGTGCAGAGAAGTTGATGTCTGTTATAGCTCGGTCATGCGCGCGTAGGGTATACTCGATAGGCGCTTTATTGTTGTTGTAAGGCATGGAGAGATTGTATACAAGCGCAAGCTGGTTTCGGGTGGACGCGATCCACTCGGCGCGTGCCGCGAAGGGAGACCATTGTACATCTGCGACATCCCACGAAGACTGATTTGGTATGATGAGGGGTTGAGACCACAAGTTATCCAGATCTATGATGCGAAGGCCATTCTTGCTGGCGAGTACCACGTCGCGTCCTGCTGGGCTTATGCTTGCGGCACCAATGTCCTCGTCTACATCTATGAAGACATTGTCGTCGAATGTTGGCGATTTGAATGCCGACGATGGCCCACCCCCTGTGGCCGCCATCTTGGGCGTTGGCAGACTTGGCCGTGATGAAGGAGGGTGCGAGTGTTGATGTTGGTGATAGCCCTGGCCCCTTGGCGCGCCTCCCAGTGATGGAGATGCTGGCTGTTGGGCTAGGCCTCGTTCGGCAACGTCGGTGGCATGCCCGACCGATTACGCAAGGTCAAACATCCAGCCCGGGAGGTTTAGCGCAGTGGCTCTTACTGCGAAGGCGCGGCATCTTCTTCTCTTACCTCGAGGAATAAACTTACTTCCTCCAACTAGGCTTCAACGACTGTCGCAACTTCTTACACGTCAAGCACATCTTTCGCGATCACCCCTCCTCTGCCACCGACGAGTCCTGCCCCGCCTTCAATCATGTCGCTGCCCAAGCGAATCATCAAGGAAACCGAGCGCCTGGTCAACGAACCGTGAGCATGTCTGCTATATGAATCTCCGTAGATTCACTAATAATGTTACTTGTGCAGTGTGCAAGGCATCAGCGCGACACCCCACGACGACAATCTCCGGTACTTTGATGTCACCATCGACGGCCCCAGCCAATCTCCCTATGAGGGTATGTTTGCACATGCGGCAACCTTCGATTCGTGGCTAACAAGCCTCGTAGGAGGCGTATTCAAGCTCGAACTGTTCCTCCCCGATGACTACCCCATGACGCCGCCCAAGGTTCGCTTCCTTACCAAGATCTACCACCCCAACATCGACCGTCTAGGGCGCATCTGCCTCGACGTCCTCAAGAGTAGGTGGAACCCGGCCTTGCAAAAGGACGACCTGGCTAACGTGTTTAGGCAACTGGTCGCCCGCGCTCCAGATCCGCACCATCCTCCTCTCGATCCAGGCTCTCTTGGGCGCGCCCAATCCTGACGACCCTCTCGCGAACGACGTTGCGCAGGCATGGAAGGAGAACCAGGCACAAGCAATCAAGACAGCCCAGGAGTGGACCCAGCAGTATGCGAAGCCATGAGCGTCGAAATAGCCAAGACTACGTATACTATGCGGTTTAGCACAGGCAAGATCATGGTGTTGCCTTCGGAAGACACAATCTGAGATAGCAGAGGAGGGTTCTCCTGTGGCTGTTTCCTGGCGATTGTGGATTGAGTTAGCCTAGTCTTCATAGTTGACTGGCCTTTCCGATACTGCCCATTTCCTTTGTACGATACTGGCCATTGATTGCCTTGCAAGCCTGGCGTTGGATGGACGATTGGAGAGCATGATAGGCACATAACCCATTGGCAGAGCAGAATTTCTGCTGGCTCTGTTGCCGAACCCTGACCAGGATGAATAGCATGAAAATGAATAACGATTCCAATACCCAAATCTTGTTCGCTCCCATCGTTGACTGAATGTGTCTGAGACCGATCATGTTTCTCTTATCAGGCTAATACAGCACGCGTCTACTGCAGACGTTGTAGTGTGTCCTATGTTGATAGTAGCTCCTACATTTCCAGGTTTGCATATTATGAGCTCCGCATGTTCGCAGGTGTGGTTCTGCGTGTCTTGGGGCTGTCGTACAGGCTTGCGTGGGAAGGCTCCCAAGTTCGAAGTGGATGGCGGGGATGCTCGCCGACGCTACTCCCTCCTTCTGGCGGCCCAGCTTGAGGCGGCCGAACCCTCTGCCACCACACCCAAAGATACGCGGAAATCATTTGTCCTGCTGTCGACGATACCTACCGCCTTAGCAGTTTCGCCTTAGGCATACGCAGCTTTTCCACTGCACAGCCTGCGTCTTGCTGCCACGACCCTTTCTCACGCAGATATTAGCTCATCTACTGGGACTCCGCTCGTCTTCGGCTCCTTCTCGATACCCCTGCGCGATGGAGAGTAGAACAAGGCGATGATATCCAGTGTCGCGAAGGCATTTGGGGGTGTCTTGGCTGCCATGAAGTGGCCGACCTGGTCGCGGCAGACCGCACAAATTCATCCCCACCCTACCTACCGCCACCACCCTCCGTCAACGAAACGTACAACGACCGCATAATTCGCAAGCCTCTCCGAAAGAGCCGCCCTTCTCGTGATAAATACCCCCGGTCGTACATGATGCAGCACATACCGTAGTCGCTGCCAGGGAGCTCCGCGATGCTCTCCGAAGGGGCACGGAGGAGCCTCTAATGCAGAACGACTCACACCGCAGACGATGCGATGGGCTTCACTAACACCAAGCCGACGGTTCGAGCAGCTGTACAGGATGCGCCGGCATCTCGAAGTATCTGCAGCACTTGGGCGCCTCTGATACTTTCGCGGGTCAGCCTCCAGCATCGAGAGCTCAGGCGGAGCTCCGCGACAGTCAACCGCAGCCTCAGATCGCGACCACTTCGCACACTCCTGCCTTGCTGACACTTATATGGGTACGCGCTTACGGCTGAAAGTTGCTGCAAGCTCATACGGCATGCATCTGCCATTCGGGCGGAGCAGAGCCTGCACAACTTCGCCGGGCACCTCCGAAGCCACGGACAACATCGCGATGGTCATACCACGCAACGCCTAGAGAACATATGATAGACTCCATGGCTTTGGTACTGCATTGCAACCGCCGGCAAGCTAACCGACAGCAATCTCACTACCGAGTTGCGGCGCCGACTGCCCCTCTTTTACTTTGGTCGCTGTATGAACGCGTCTGATCGAACCGACGTTTGCGAAGACCTCCCACTTTACAAAACGGTACGGACGCTTCGCCTTTCTGCAATACCCTCTTCCCGCGACCATCGTACGCTCCTCGATACCATTTCCTCACGATGCCTGAACACCATGTCATACTGAATGAACGAGGGGGGAGGCTGGTGTTCTGCCTCTGTCACGAACGTGGAACCAGCGTCGGCACATTTACCGTCGGAAAAGCGGAGGAGATACCAACAACAGCACTGCGCTTTGCACCATCGGCGAAAGGTGAAACGCGAGGATGTCGCAAGAAACGAGGCATGCTCCGACTCCAGAGCGGTCAAAGAACAGACGATGTTCTCTCAGACCAGTCTCTGCTAGGTCTCGCCTCTGCATAAGCTGGCCTCAAGCTTGCTACCTTCTTCAGGTTGACGGCAATGAGCAACGGAACTCGACAGTTGCTGCGGCGCAATGCAACGATGATCTGAGGCTCGAACGAAGCGATGGCCAGCGACTAGCATATGCGATGTAGTCGATGTCGGCAATGGATAACACAGCTGGACAAAGAACCCCGGGTGAGTTCTGGCATGTTGCGCGCCTGAAGGATTACAATCTTCTTGGACCATGTAGAAGAGCGCATGCGTTCGATCAGTCGAGCGGAAGGACGCATCAAGGCCCTCATGCTCGGGGCATTCGTGCATTCCGACAGCGACGGGAAGTTCGGCAGCAGGACACCGCTGGCATGTATCGACCCGACCTATACCTTCCCAACTTGGCAAACTTTCAGCGCCTTCGTATATGGATATACACCGCCATCTTCCTCTTGTGGCAAGGCTACGGTGGCGGTCGTGGTACCGTGGTCGGCGCTGACCGCGTGGCAAACCTCGACAACTCATTTTGCCGACGTCTCCTACGGACAACCTTGTCATCATTCGAAGGTGTCATCAAGCTTACTGTCGACAAGAAGACCGACTTGGAGACCTGGATATGCATCTTCGCATTGTTGTCACGAAAAGAATTAATAATCAATGTCTTGCAGCACTCCTGGACAGGATTGAGTGTTGGAGCGGATAGACCACATGGTAGTGAGTCTCAGAGATGGTTCCCGTGTCTCGATTAATTAAGTCGGTGCAATTTGAACTCCAACTTGGTCGCGCAAACCCTATATCAATCCGGGGTTCGAGCGGCGTTCGTTGTGGTCAGGGGAGTCTGCGATGCCGGAATACCGTTGCAACACAGACCAAGACCACAACGCCACGAATGCAACTCCGATGCGACATGGGACCACAAACGTTTTATGACCAACTCTTTCGCACTGAAAGAAGTATGGGCCGGAGTCGTTGCCGGCCGCAACCTAGACTTTCAGTTGAGGATTATATATCCTCTTTCGACAGCGAGTATGGTCAAGAAGCGGAGCCCTCGTGTGCGCACTGTTTCGACTTGACTACTTCATTGTAGAGCCTCGACGATGGCGTCTACTGTCTGGAAAGTCCGTTACCGAGCGTCAGAATGTCATCATTACCCTTCAGTCGCCGATTGCGAGGACAGGCTAGATAAGACCTCACATCATCTCTTTGCGCCAAACGGCTTGACAAAGACGTGTCGGCGGTGATGTGCTGTGACCGTCGTCTCACGCTTTGCCGTAGCAGATTTGGGGTGCGCTATGGCCCGACACCTACGGCATGGACTAGAGCAGTTCCAGATACTGTCATAGTGGACGTGAGGGTTCTACGCATGCGGTTCATGAACCTGTCTTGACGCCCTCGGGCGTTTAGCAGATGTATCGAAAGACATGTATATCTTCTTCAATCTGTTGATACGTTGCTGCGGTGCTGTTGGTATACCATCAGACAACTGAGACGGCTCTGACCAAGCGTCGAGGGAAGACACTCAGTACTCGAGCCAGTCATTATGCCAGACTTCGCGGATTCGAAAGGCCGAGGTAAGGTAATAGTACCTCGTGTAGGTTGCCAGTACTTTGCCCTTGTCGTCCTGGTGTTCCATCCTCCTGGTCGAAGAGGTTCGGTTCGTTTGCGTTCGCGTCGAGGGTCGTTGTTCAGGTAAGAGAAGGTTGCTACGCGAATTGGGTAAGAGGCTCAACAAGAGGTTACCTACCTATGGTAAGCGGTCAGGAGACTCGAAGCCTCCGCTCATACCTTTTGCTACTCATTTGTACCGTTGCCCTTCTGGTCTTCAAGTCTTCATTTCTCGACGCCTGGAGATGTCCTCCGATCTTTTTTCTTCCTGCCCAAGAATGTTGCCAGCATACCAGTCTCTCAGATCCAGCGGTCGCAGCGCCTTTCTACCTCCAATCATACGGCGATGTTCCCTTGATGGTTGTATGTTCCCTCGGCCCTTGGCGCCTCGGTCCTGCCCTTGCTCTGCGTGTGAGCGATGCAGACTCCTACTGTGTCGCTGCGATAGCCCCATAGCCATCTGCTGCAACGGCCGTTGGCGCATCGCCGCAGATGCCTCGAGAGGTGGCTTACGAGATCGGTCGTACGGTGTCCTGCTTCGTGGCTTCTCGATTCGTTCGAGGTGTGGTAGCGTACGGCTGGAACGCGCATTGTGCGGAAGGAGCGCCCGACTTTTCTCAAGTCTTCGAGGAAGGGCCAGGGGTCAGGCCGTGCATGTCGAGCATCTGCTGTCACAGCACTATCAGCCTTTGCAAGCCTACGTCTTCATCAGAGTCCTCAACCCCGGGATCCGAGTTGAGTGCAGGCCATTCCGAAGGCGCTCGAGGTTCAGAGGTAACGGTACTTCCTGCCTCACCTGGGGTGGGTGTGAATGCCCCTTGTCTTCCCCAGCCTCTGTCCTTGTCTACCCCGAATCACTGCGAGAACGGCGTTGTACGCCCCTTGGTCCACTTGGAAACCCCCGCGGAGTGTGTTGTGGCGAATGCGGCCTTCAGGCAGCCTTGAGAAAGGAGCTCTTCGCACGGATGGTCGTGTGTATTCGCTCTGTCTGTTCGCAATACTGTCCACACCCCTGGGTGTAGCTATGCGTATTGCAGTCGTCGTGTCCGAGAGGTGCGAGGGAGGTCGCCAGGTGACGAGAGATACTTATGATCGCGGGGATCTCGTTCGAGGAATCGCCGCCACCGTCGCGATCAGGGAGCATTGCAGGCTATCCAATAGTTCCCTGAGGGCTTACAAGAGTCAGCGGATGCTTGCGAGTTGAGCGCTGGCTCTTTGTGTGTCATACCGAATGCTGTTGAAAACTTGCCGTTGCGCCGGATGTCTACGATGGGCGCAGGCTGGATGAGCGATACCTCTGCTGCGACGAGGGGGTTGAGTACCGTTTCCGCTTGCCTGCTCTATGTTATGCAGGCTGCTCGAGGTGGTTGCCGGCTTGGTGGGTGTCTTGCTG